GGGTTTGAAGGTGGCAAATTGGGGGTTGGGGAGTGGGGACAAGGAGTGGGGTACAGGAAGGGGAAGGACAAATTAAATTTAGTTTTTAGTAAGTGTTTTACGGCACTTGCAACACAATAAGGTTATATAAGGAGAAATTAAGTTTGAGTTCAGTTCGAGTAAAGAGGAAGCACGTCGACATACAAACAGAAACAACTGTGTGGAAAAAAGATATATAAAGAACCAGTGACATCCTCAAACCACCTACAGGGGAGACAAATCAAGGAAAGACGGCTGAACAATGAAAATACAAAATGTGTCACGATGCGGTGGAAACAGGCGCTCATCAATTTTGGGGCACATGGAGTTATTGGTATCATTTTAAAGCCTGTCCATTTGCCTTGCTTTCGATGAAAAAAATATACATTTGTCTTTAATGTAAGTCAAGACATAAGCGACTGATGGAGGTTGGGCTCATCTGGTTTCAGAGGTAAGGGTAGCGACGAGATGGCAGCCAAAGTAAAGTTATTTCCTTTGTTTGAGAGTCCATGGAAATGGAAAATTGACATCTTTTTTGCTTTTAAATAACGTTTTCAGTAAAACTCACACAGAAATGTGTTCTTTATAGGGCATGAAAGGGGTTGAGCCAAAAAAACAAAAATCCAATAAAAATTCCCAAATCTGCGGAAAAACGCCACTTTCATGACTCTCATTATTTTGACGAGAGCCTGATTTCACCACGCTGCCTCACAAATAATGACTGTAAGTGAGCAGGTTCTATGCCCCCATCCACACAATTACGATCTTTTTGGAGACGGGCTGCTTTGACCCCAGCAGTCAACATCCAAACAAACAAAGGGAGATGATACTCGACATAAACCTCCCCCCCCAAAAAACCCCCAAACAAACAACCCAACAACAACACTTTCCAATAGCAGTCTCGGGCAAACGACAATGACAACACTTACTTACCTACAGCCGTCTCTGGCATGGCAAACATGGTCTTCTCTGTGGCCACACGAAACATTCCATGCACTGAGAGGCCCACACCCTGCCGGAAAAACCCATAAAACCAACAAAACGTTGAGTCAGCTGAAATAACAGGACAGACGAAAACCGGGGAGTGAAAGAGACGCCTACAGAGAGAGAGAGAGAGACAGAGAGAGAGAATGAAAATAGAAGATGGAGACAGAGAAGAAAGACAGACAACAGACACGAGATTAGACAGAAAGACAAACAGACAGACAGATATGACTGACGAAAGATAGATAAAAAAAGAATGAAAGGGTTAGATTTATAATCTAAATAAAGAAAAGTACTTTGACGCAATAACTAACCAAAGACAAAATCTAACTGACTGTTAGTTCAAACAAAAAACTTCTTACATTTGTTTGTTTGTTTGTTCGAGCAGATAAAAGCATGTCCTCGCGAAAGCGGTCACAAAGTTGTTGGAAATAGTTAGACAGAATGACAGTTAGTTTGTTTTAGTAGAAATTTTACGGCGCTCGCAACTGCATAAGGTCATATGAGCGCCAGAAGATTAGAAGTGTAACAAGAGAGTAACAAACATAAAAAAGAAGGAGGGGGGGATAAGGACGATAGATGTTTGATAGGAAAGAAGGAGCAAACCACACCAGAGCACAGACAGAAAGAAAAGAAACAGGACATACAAATGACACCCTTCAACCTCCAATAGAATACTCACCCCACCCATGGTGATTCCATCTATGAGGGCCACGTAGGGTTTGCTATAACTTCCTGTGGACCACAGAAGACACCAGTCACATTCACGAAAGAAAACACAAGCAAAAAGACAAAACATTAAACCTAGAGAAAAAGAAGAAAGGTAAAGAAAAAGGAGAAAAATAAACAAAACAAATAAAAAGAAAACTGAAATCATTAATGAAAAGCAACAACAAAAAAAGACAAAAAAGAAAAGAAACAACAAAGAAGCTAAAAAAAAGAATAAATGAAAAAAGAACCGAAAACAGAAATTTAAAAAAAGGAAACAGAAATTTTAAAAGACTACAGGTAAAAGAAAAGAAAAAAAAGGAAAAAAGAGGGGAAAAAGTAAAAAAACAAAAACAAATCAAAACAATAAGAAGGCAACCC